CCATCGTCATCCTCGTCGTTCACGACTTAACCCTCCCCTCTTCCCTCGTCGCTCCTTTTTCTTTTTTCACTGTCACTCTCTTGATATTCGGCCTTGCCATTCCGGAACCCGTCACTCCTTTCCGGGTCTCCATTACATTCCTTTCCGGCTAGAAACCACCCATTCTTCGCGAAGCACCAAACTCGCAAACCACGAAACCCCCCTGATCGACCCACGTCCGCTCGACACCCTTCGACAGACCCCGATCCAGGACGACACTCCTTAGTCTACCAAACTTTCACTACTTTCCCTAGCTTACGGCATCCATCTATATTATTCAGAACCAACAACATCGACATCATCGACGACGACATAACGAAACAATTCGATCCAACACCCTTTTCCCTGGCGACACGGCACTTCACTGATCCGTCTGCCTACACGCCGTAATTGCCTCACGACGGGACGATTGACACGCGTCTTGGACCGAGTCGATTCCCCCAAAGCAAGGCCACCGAACGCGCCTCCCACTTTTCTACGCTTCGGAGCGAACTCCATCCACTCCTTCGCACCATCAGACTGCCACAATGGCGGCTGTTGATATCGGCACTCCGGTCAAGCGAGAGCAATCTGCTCTCGCCGACTCGCCCGCGTGCCCCACGCCCCTCTCCAAGTCACTCGACAACCACGGCACGCCGGGCTCCGCCTCTAATGTCAAGATGAACTCAACGCCGTCGCCCTCGACCTCGACGGCCAGCAACGGCCAGCCAAGCCAGTCCAGGCGCCCTCCGCGCAAGAGCACCCTTACACAGCAGCAGAAGAATCAGAAGCGTCAGCGCGCCACTCAAGACCAACTTGGCACCCTGGAGATGGAGTTTAACAAGAACCCCACGCCCACGGCTCAGGTCAGGGACCGCATTGCTGAAGAGATTGACATGACCGAGAGGTCGGTGCAGATCTGGTTCCAAAACAGGTATGTGCCTCTCGGGTGCCCCCCCTCCCTATTCGTCGTGAGTTCAGCCAGCCTAACATCCACTTCCTAGGCGAGCCAAGATCAAGCTCATGGCGAAGAAGAGCTTGGAGACGGGCGAGGATTTCGACTGCATTCCCGAGTCCATGCGCAACTACCTCGCCATGCAGGCCATGGAGGCCGGCAAGGGCCTCGGTGGACAATACCTCGGTCGGACCGGCCTTCTGCCCTACAGCCCTAGCATGCTGATGGGTAACGAGCAGAACGGCAAAGTCTGTAAGTCGAAGTAGCTCACCGCTAGGCTTGCGCGCGCACCGCTGACCATACAGTGATCCATCATCTCAGCAGCAGGTCTCTCAACATTGGCAAGTGGACGAGGGTCTCGCAGAGCACCATGGACCTCATCATCTTCTACTCACCGGACAAGTGCACCATGACCTACTACATCAACAATGATCAGGCCGGGTACAAGATTGAGTATCCTTTCGCTTACATCAAGAACATGTACCTCGAGAACCAGGAGGGCGACCCCAGCAAGCCCAGTGGCATCGTCATTGAGCTCAACAGGCCACCCCATTTCTTCATGGACCAGACGCCCGCCACGAGTGGTTTCTTCCAGTGCGGCGATTTCACCGAAGAGCAGCAAGCCTCGAACTGTCTGGTTCACCACCTCGGCGGCAACCCTAAGGTCCTCAGCGGCCAGCTTGCCAAGCTGGTTTCACTCGATGCCTTCATGAACCGCAACAACCCGAACCCCTTCTTTGAGAACCACTCTCTCTCCGTCTCGCGCCCGTCTCACTACGCGCGCCCTCTTCCCAGCCCAACTTTGCTCAAAACATGTCGGCAAGTTCCAGGAGTCTTGGGGCATCAACCACCTGCAGCCTGGCATGCGTGGTCCTGGCCACAAGAGGCAACGTAGTAGGTCTGTGCCCATGGCGGTTGACTTCTCCATGCTCCAGACGCCGATGCCGTCGTTCTACATCCAGCAACCCGGCGAGGCGGCCCCCCAACCGCACAACCCGAATATTTTCGCTCCTGTCCCACAGCAGCCCAGCGGCCTTGGTCCCAACCTGAGGATAGATACGCAAGCTGGTTTTGGGATGGACATGAGACAGTATCCCATGTCGGCAACGACCGCGTCTCCGTCCGAGTTCGCGAGCCCTGGCTACTTTGCCGGACCGGAGCCGAGCCCGCTGCCAACGTCGAGCTACAACACGCCATACGGTGGAGCGTTCCTCTCGCCGATGGCGAACCCCTCCAACATGGTCCCGCCGCCGCATTCGCCTCTGTCCTTCAATGGCCATGGCGAGCCCTCCATTGTCGAGCAGTCGCCACCCCTGTCTATGCTGGGCAGGCCGGCGTCTGCTGATATTTACCGTCATCACGGTGGCGGTGACGCTTCCTGTGCAGTGTCCGAGGACGGCGGCAGCCTTAATGAGATGTACTCGAAGCACACGATCAACCTGCCAATGCACCCCCATTCGCCTTCGCACGTGGATCAGGCCCAGGCTGAGCTCGACATGAACCAGCTTGTGCAGTTTGACCACGTCGACCCCTCCTCGCTGTCGCCCGACTCGATGCACCACATCCAGCAGCAGTGAGCTCAGCCGCACTGACATGAACAACAACAAATTTGCTGCGACTGGTAGTACATAAAGCGTCGACAGCGACACACTTTTTTCTGAAGGGGGCTTTTGCGTCCGGCGTTTGGGAGCTTCATATACCACATTTGGGGTGCACTTTTCCTGCTTGGACAATCGACGAGAATGAAGCTTGGTCATTCGCTTCTTGGCCCATCCCCCCCTTTACCACCCACCCTCTTTAGCGGCCACGACGAAATCTGCATGACGATATCTATTTCCGGAAGTCGGTCATGCATGTCTGGCACAGGCGATCGTACATTTTTACCCAACTTTTGCGCATCTGCTTCTACCTGCTGGATATGATCCTAGCGTTCTCATCTTACCGCGAACTCGGGGGCGCTGCCGCGCAACCCGTCGATTCTGGAGCGCGGCAGCTCGGCGACTGCTGCGCTTTTATACCAACCGCTACGGGGCTTTCTTCAACCGCCGGCCCCGCGCATGCGATGGCGCCTAATCTAGCTACATCACGTTTGATCACATGCTTTGGTCATTCGTTGCTCGGCGTTTCTTCCAGGCAGTTTATTACTTCTTTCTCCTTCCCATTTCCTAATTTTGTGTAGTTCTGTACTACAATCTTTGTACTGGTTTTGGGCTTCGTTTCGTCGTTCATGAATCACAGATGGGTTTTCGGGGCCCGCGCACCGTCGAGGAGAG